TACTAGCGAAAGCAACTTCTATTGATCAAAACATCATTATACATCTATAATCACTATCAAGAAATTATATGCAATATTACAACTGAACTCAATGTATTTGTGCAGAAACAGTAAAAGCATACTATAAAACGCTCAGCAAGTCACTAAAATTTTATAACTGAGTTCAATGCACGGTAAAGAAACAATATGCATGTAATCATTCAGTTCATAATAGTAGCAGTCAATATGATCATGAAAATAAAATAAAGAAATGATAAAACACATGCAAATTGATAAAATATGTGAATCGGTAAGCCAATACGGTATAAAGGCCAGTAAAATAATGAATTACAAAAACAATAAAATCTATAAATCAGTAAAACCAATACATATGTCATTCATACGTCGTAGTGGTGCTATCCAATCAACAAGGAAATCATATAAATAGGTAAAATTGAAGCATCTATAAAGACTGTCGAAATTCATAACAATGCAATACTATCAAATCAGTATACATATGATGTTCAGTCATTCTATATAATAAGTATCAAATCAGTATCTTATATCACATGCTCAATAATAGGAATCACATGCTTAGTAATAATAAACAATTAAATAGTGAATCAATAGCAGTAACAGTGTTAGTGAATCAATAATAGTATCAATATCAATAAAATTTGTAACAGTAACAGTAAAATCAAACGGTAATAATAAATCAGTACATTGACAATAAATTAATACAATAAATGCATCACATTAATCACACTAAACAAATAAAGAGCTTTGGCTTAAGTGGTGTTTTTCAATTAATCAATAAATCGATAAATCAGTAATCATTGATTCAATAAACAGAGACGTCCGTCAACATAGTAATCATTTTCTTATAACTCTCAATCAGTAATCACATGAATTAGTAAATATTAACACCAAATCATAGTATTTAAAAGAAAGCCCATTGAAGAAAACGTAATTAAAATCATTTTGGAAGGAATCGAACAATTGAACTCAAAATCTTTGATGACAGAAAGAGGAGAAAATCATCTACAACGAGTTGAAGAATTTTTGTAAAAGCGACAAACCAAATCGTCGACCAAAAACATAGCTTTCTCTTTCCTCTCTCCATCCCCTTCTCTTTTTTCCTTCCACGGCAAGTCACGAAAGCAGATGAGGGAATGGAGCAAATGGCATTTTCATAAATTTAAAAACTCGTTTCAATGTGTGAAGACTCGACGCCCAATGAATCCAGCGCCATTGCACTGCATGTTGAATCCAAATTTACTATACAATAGAACATTCAATGCCGCGGCGGCAATTTATGATGCCTCAACGCCAGTTTAGACAAAAATTCATATTCTTATTTTAAATTTATTTTAATAATTATTAAGTTGTTACACCCCTTTCTTCTCAGATCATCGCAGCTTGCCACCACCAATCCTCCCACACCATTCCCTCTACTCATCGATGCCGTTTGCAATCGACACAACCACTTTCATTCTACTCTCACTCTCTCCTCCTCACTCTAACTCTCTCTTTCTCTTCCCCCCCCTTTATTCTCTCTCCTTAAACTTTCTCTTTGTTTCTCTCTCAGGTTGCTTCACAACAGTTGTCATAATCGTATGAGGCCAAGGATTTAGCCTAGTGCTTTAAAACTTGTTTTCTCTATTAATTTTCTATATATCTAATTCTTTGGTTATCCACCGGTAAGTTATATGTGGATTTCAAAGAAGATTGATACATCGTGGAAGCAAAATAAGCAAGAAAAAGAGATGAACAAAAAGAACGGGGTTGATTTTTTTATTAATACTTCAACAATAATGAAAGATACAAGTGATCTACTATTTGAGAGGTATATCGACTCTCCCAATCAACTTAAACGCCGCTAGGAAGCCCTCGTGAAGAAAACTACAACAAACAAACAAAACACAAATAACCCTCATAACACAATAACTAACCTTAAATAAGCTCTTCCTATTTCCCTCCCGAATAGCTTTATTGCCTTAATTAATTCATTATCTTATTTTGAATTCAAATTGGAATTAAAACAACAAATAATTCCCTTATTGCCTTAATTAATTTCCCTCTGCTACTTCAATTCAAAATTAGTTTCTTTTAATTCGAAATAAAACCTCCCTAAATAACTTCCCCTTAATCCCTCCTTTCATAATGATCTATAGTTTGTTGAGCCCCACAAGGGGGGTCCAAAATCCCCCTTGGTTCTCTGAGAGTTCCGCCCAGCCCAACGACTAATTCAGCCAAAACTGGCTGACCAGCCGCTCTGCTTCCCTTCCCCTGCCGCATCAATACTTCCCCCCACACCCCCCAAAGACACACCTTGTCCTCAAGGTGGAATGATGGGATGCTAGTCATGGCTTTCTTCAGCTGCTCTCAATTAGTGGCAATGTTATCGCCCTCTAGAACCAGTTATAGGGCTTTCCCCTCCAGAGATAGCGTTGCAGCCATAAGCTTCTCCTCGTCCAACCCATTCACCATGAAATACATCTCCACCCGATACACTCACCCATAAGCATCCTCCGCTTCAAATATTGGCATCCTCAACTTCCTCACCCTAGGGTCCCACCGCCCCAATAGCTTCTTCCTCCTCTAGTGTAACAGCTGTCGTGATCCCTCCATATTTCCCCATGTATCGAGGGTGGGACTCCCACCTTTCTTCCATCTGTTATTGCATGACCAGATCCCATGGTTCAACTCGACCCCTCCATCTCCATTCACCCACTTCCCTTGCCCGAAATATCTCCCATAATAGTCAGCCACCCCAATACCTCCACCACACATGACCAGATCCCATGGTTCAGTCGACCCCCTCCATCTCCATCTGTTCTTGCCCGAAATACCTTATTAAATATTCTCATTTTCAATTCTCTTTGGCGGGTTGCGACTTTGGTTTCAGAACAATGTCTGATGTCATCTCAACATCAAAGTCTGATATTGTCTTAAGATGGATGCTCGACACTAGCAATTTATGCACCACAACTTGACATCTCATCTTTGTCTGACGTCATCTTAACATCGACAGCCAATGCCCTCTCAACATTGACGACAGACAACCTCTTAATATCAACGTCCGATACTTATTCGATGCTCGACTCTTGACAACATTGTTGTCTCCTCTTTCAATGTTTGATACACGGCATCGAATCCCGACTCTCGACACCTAATATTAATCATTTTAAGCATAAATTATAGTTAAATGGTTTATTATTTCCAATTTATTTTTAATGGCATATTTATTCATTTTTATATATTATTTTTAAAATATAAAAATTATAATACCGTGTCCAACCTGTGACCATGTCCTATATTTTTAATAATTGACATGTCTTGTGTCTATGTCATGTCGTGTCCGTGTCGCCGTATTGTCGCCGTATTCGTGTTTGTGCATCATAATTCTCCATCAACCGGGATTTGATTTACTCCACTTTGCCTTAGAACACATCCACCTTCTTTGTCGTCATGGGTCCCAAAAAGTGCTATGATACCAATTTGATACGTCATGGAAGTAAAATAAGAAAGAAAACGAGAAGAACAACAGAGGAACACAAAGATAGGGGTTGTTTTCTTTTATTAATACGTCAATAATAATGAAAGATACAAATGATCTACTATTCAAGAGGTAGATCGACTCTCCCAATCAACGTAGACACCACTAGAAATGCCTCAAGAAAAAAACTACAACAAACAAACAAAACACACATAACCCTCATAACACAACAACTAGCCTTGAATAAGCTATTTCTATTTCCCTCCCAAACAGCTTTACAGCCATAATTAACTCCCTCTTATTTTGAATTCAAATTGAAATTAAAATAGAAATCAATTCCCTATTTGCCTAAATTAACTTCTCTCATATTTCAATTCAAAATTAGAATACTTTTTTCAATTCTAATTAAAATTTTCCTAAATAACTTCCCCTTAATACCTGCTTCTTTCATAATGATTTATAACTTTGTTGGGCCCCACAAGAGGAGTCCGAAATCCCCTTTGGTTCTACTGATAGTTCCGCACAGCCCTAGCAAGTTGGGTTGGACTAGTCTCGCTGCTCCCCTTCTCCCACCCTATCAGAAAAAAACTAGATCAATGAGATATACATAGAGGATGACCTTAGCTCTTGTTGTGTCACTTCAGGGATAAGGTATTTTCATTACCATTCCTTTTCTTTGAGTTCAGATTAAATATTCAGTCCTCTTGTGAATTTTGTAACTTTTACATGCTATTTAGTTAGATCTGGAAAGTACAGTGTAGATCACTCACATGGCATGTTATGACTCGATTTGCATCACCTAATTAGCTCAATTAAATAATCAAGAAAAACAACAATTTAGGACCTTTCTCATTTAAAAATATGCACTTTTCATTTTGATACTTATAGTTGGTATTTGCACATGAGTATTTTGCATACTTCATAGTGCTTCCTAGGGCTTGCATAGCAGCCTAGTCTTCTCATGCATCACAAAAGGCAACTAGGGAGCTTTAAGAATAAATTAAGAGACTGTTCTGCATAAATATATCACAGTGGTTTTAAGTTGAAAAAAGTTGTTTTCTCCAGTAACATGAAATTTTAAGATGATATAGTT